AAAGCAATTCTTGGCAAGAAGAATGAAGCAGGAGGTGTCACAGCCAGACCTCAAATTATGCTACAGAGGTATTATAACAAAAATGGCATGGTATTATCACCAAAACAGACATGCAGACCAAATGGTACATAATAGAAGACACAGAGACAAACCCACATAAATACAATTATCTCATACTAGAAAAAGGCGCTAAAAATATACATTGAAGAAAAGATAGCCTCTTCAACAAATAGTGCTGGGAGAATTGGAAATCCATATGTAGCAAAATGAAATTAAATCCCTATCTCTCACCCCAACTCAAAGTGGATCAAGAACTTAAACATTAGACCAGAGACCCTGTGCATAATAGAAGAAAAGGTAGGCCTAACTCTCCATCTTGTGTGCTTAGGAACCGATTTCCTCAACAAGACTCCTATAGCACAAGAAGTAAAATCAAGAATCAATAAATGTGATTGTATCAAATTAATAATTTGTAGAACAAATAAAAAAAATAATAAAAAAGTCTTATATCTTATTCAAATTTGACTACTATATTGAAATCTATAATCTGCTAAAACTCAATTATAGAATACATTTTCTATATAGGTGCCCTCTGTCCACACACACAAATAAACTAGGTCTTAAGAGAGAATAACAATATCTAGTGCTACTTTTTGTAAGGCTTTCAAAGTATGCATTATGAAAATCACCATGAAAATTGATTCTAGAAAGTTCAATAGCTTTCCTACTTTAATTTTTAGTCAGATATATTTTATAGCCTCACAACCAAACCAAGATCACCAGAAATAAATCTCAAAGAGGAATTAAGTTTCACCAAAGTCAGAATTGGTATCTAGGGAATCTGATTCTGGTCACAAACTATACGGTTAACATCTTCCTTGAACATAGGAAATAGTAACATGAACACGTTTAAGTAAACAGACAAATTTTTGTACTTCTGCATGCCATTCCACCATTTCATCACATTTTTCTTTATTAACATTAGCTAGGATACAATACAAACCATTAAGCATTGTAAATAAAATTATAATCATTTATTACTCAAAAGATTTGAGATATTTACATGTCACCTGGGAGCTTAGTCTCATTCCAAATGCAATTATTTCTTCTGCATGTTTTGAGGTAAATCAATGCAATTAAGTTTTCTGACAGAGCTTCTTTCTTAGTGGAAAAACACATTTTAATTATACGTACAGCAAATAAAAATATTCAGTATTTCTGTAATTCAAATTGGAGGAAAACTTTTTCATTCAGTTTTCCATCAAAAGTTCCAACATGCTTAAATATATATCTCAATTCATCCATTTTCATTATATAACTAGATATGGAGTAGTTGTTGGTTTTAGAGTTTGGCAATAGGAGATAAATGTCAGAGTATTTGCCCATCCCTCATTCAACTTATCCAGGATCCAGGTGTGGAGAGTATTTGGCAGGTGGGCAGCATTGAGTTCTTCCTGGATCTTTCAGCATCACAGCTCCATTCACAATGTATCTAACAAGCAGACTTAAAACCTGAGTTCATCAAAAAGAAATGTAGCTCCACTGATATTTCCTCTACTTTGATAGATTTTCCATTTTTTTTTCCTTTCTCTTTCTCTTTTTTCTCCCTACCTCTATTTTGGATTAGGGGATATCAGAAAAAACATTCAGGGTCTGGGGCTGTGGTTCAGAGGTAGAGCGCCCACCTACCATGCATGAGGCACTGGGTTCGATCCTCAGCACCACATAAAAAATAAAATGAAGATATTGTGTCCACCTACAGCTAAAAAAAATAAATATTAAAAGAAAAGAAAAAAACATTCAACCTTTGACTATTAGGGACTGGCTTATTTTACTTAGCATGACACTCTCCAGTTCCATCCATTTACCAGCAAGTGTCATAATGTCATTCTTCTTCATGGCTGAGGAATTCTCCATTGTTATGAAGGAGATTGAGGAGGAGGAAGGAGGGACCAGATCAGGGAAGAACAGTGGTATATCTGACTGAACTTTCATATGTACATATTATGAACACGCCACCATGAACAAGACACTACTTAAATTTTTATATATGTATAAATTAAATATATATTTCAGAAAGGTCGGTAGAGAGGGGAGCAGGGGGAGGCAGAAGCAGGGAAGAAGTGCTGGGGTCTAAATTAGAGCAAATTATATTCCATGCTTTTGTGAAAATGTCAAAATGCATCCTAATGTTATGTGCAACTAAAAATATTCAATGAAAATTAAAAGAAGAAATAGCAGCATCAGCAGCAGCAGCAGCAGCAGCTTCTATTATGGAAACGACCAAGAAAGGGAGAAAGTTGGTGGAGCACCCAGATTGGCTTTTTAGGAAAAATAAACAACCAAAATCAATTTTGGCATTCCTTACAGCTCCCCACTTGGTCACTGTGGATTTAAAACCTGTATAAACCTGCTGTTCTCCTATTTCTCAAGGCACGAACACATGGGTGCCTAGCAAACTTGACCCTGGCCCCAACACTGCTCTATGTGAAACAGCTGAAAAACTTGAGTGAGTTCTTAAATCCAACCTCATTTTCACTATCAATGGAAATGTTAACAGAGTATATTAATTGATTTTCAAGATCCTATTCATCTTCAAAATTCAAAAATTCTATTTTTGAATTTCCAAGACTGATAGAGGATATACTTTCCCCCGAGACTGAGTGGATACACCCAAGAGAAAACTACAATTTCCTTGTAGGAAGCTGGAGAAGGTACAAAAGTGGAGCCTGACAATTCTCTAAGTGACCTTGTAGCAACAATGTTTGCAGCCAAATTCCTGCAACATACCGCTTATGTATGTTTGTTTGTCTGGCAAAATAGCCCCGGTGAGTAATAGTCTAATGAATTTCAATGAAAGCTGAACCTTACAAATTTGCCCAAAGAGTCTCCATCAAACAACTAACTTATGACAAGTAAATGTCCCACCTTCACCCTAATGATACCCACAATGGTACTGGGATGTCTTCTAAAACGTTCCTATCCCCAGGAACTGAGGCCCCAAAGACTGGAATCTTCACAACCCCAGGACAACTTTTTGATGAGACTGTCCAAGGACCATTTGTATAAAATCTCTGTCCAAGTAACTCCCCATAGGATCTCACTCCCTATCCACCTAACTCTGCATTATATGCCCACGATTCCAAAGGCCCTGTGCCCTTCTACTTCTTCATCTAGTGCTTCAGTTTCCCGCCACCATCATCAAAATTCACTTTGACCACCAGGGCAGATGGTACCAATGGTGGTGATCACATCATTTATGGGATAGAGAAGGAACTGGAACACATGGGGAAGAGAGGTTCCATCCCTCAGGAAGTAAGGCCAGATCCTCTAAGCCTATGGAAAAGCATAAAAAAGAAACAAAATAAAGGAAGTGACTAAATGGAGGGTAGAGGTCCATTAGAGAAAGGACAAATTTTTTAAAAAAGAGTCAAGGTTTTGAGTTCTGTCTGCTGACTCTTGGGCAAAATGGGCTCTGTACATCCTCTTGAACATTCAGGTTACTGAGGCAAGATGGATCTTAACATTCTGGACAGAGGATGTTTTTAAATGTCATCACATAGTCTTAGCATAAAATGAATTTCTGCCACCTTAGGAAAAATAATAGGTCCATCCTGCTATGGAAAGGTAGCCTGCTGGTAACATCTGCAACTGTATTAGCCTGCAGCACAGAAAGGGATTTGAAATGGGTCACCTGTGCCAAGTGTCTGATGGGTCCACACTCTGTCTCATAGTTAGTCAATGAGGAGCCCCTCCACAGGATGATGTGACTCACAGGTGATTCCTAGTCTCAAGCACCTCCAAGTTTTGCCCAATGTCTGCCTTTTCCCCCTAATTGCCACAATCATGGTTCACTCTTTTAAGTACCAGACTATATGTCATGATGCTCATAATGGGATAGAAAAATAGCATACAAGTGAGCATTTGAAAAAAAAAAAAAAATCTCTACCCCTAACAGGTGATAAGCATTCTTCTCTCTGGGACCCCAGAATGACAATAAAGGTACATGGGGGGCTGGGCATGGCTCAAGTGGTAGTGCACTCGCCTGGCATGTGCGGGGCGCTGGGTTCAATCCTCAACACCACATAAAAAATATAAAATTTTTTAAAATATATAAAATTTTAAAAAAAGAGGTACATGGGAGGTAGACAGCTGAACTGTGCCCCAATTCCATGCTTATAATGAATTATAAAGACATCTCTCTATATGAAAACTAAAGTCACTCAGCAACAATTAATATATTTTATTTCATCCTATCACTTTCCCTAGTCTACCTTTGAAATTATAATAGAAATCATTGGGGAAAATGTGATTCAATTTACTAAGCACTCAATTTATAGACACCTTCTTTCAAATCAAAAATAAAATTTATTTTAACTTCATTTTATTTAATGCTTATGACTAATCATAATTTCATGAGCTCGCTTGCAAAGGTCCATACTTTAAAATTTACTAAACAAAAATGTGCTATCTTTGAGTAATAAGGTATTTAAAATTACACAAATCATCTCTACCCAAGACTTTCCTCTCTTCAGCAAAGCGACAGCCTGTCTATATTAGTCACAGTTGTACAGCAAAAAAACAAATCTGCAGTTTGTTACAGTCTATGGTGAATTTGTTATAGGAACAAAATGTCATACATATACTGATACAACAAAGTACAACCTTAAGAGAACTGAGTTATTTTCCACGCACATACTCTAAAAACAGGAATTGTGCACATCCTGTGAGATTAAAGCAAAATGGACATTCCAAGATAGAACACCACTTAGCTCTCCCTCAGTATTCTTGTATTAATGGCAGAGTTTCAGCCAAACATAATTCTCCATGTTCACAACAGACCTGTACTCATTTACCCAACCTTTCTCCTCCCTTAGCCTGATGGCTCTCTGACAAAATATTCCTAAGGTCTAATGCATGCAGATAAATTATTCAAGTGAGAACTCCGTCTTCCAAGGGACTTCACTGTTGGCATTCCATTTTCACTCCACATCACTCACCGGTGCCATCATCCACATTCTCCACCTCCATCACTTCGGTATTGATCCGGCCCCGAAATAGGTACCGGTGTCCATCTGTGGATGCTTTGCTGTTCTTCAAGCGTCTTTAAATGAATGAAACCACAAAAACTTTGTTACTAAACCTCAGGCAGAACAATGTTAAAACATCACACTTTCTTGATTCTTTAAAGAGAGAGAGAGAGAGAGAGATCAATTAAATCAACATTACAACAGTTTTTTGGCACTTGGAGATCAGACTTATGTCCTAATTGCTTTACAAGATGTGACTGATGTACTAATTTCTTTAAATAAATTAAAGTTGGGGCTAAAGATCATACACAGGTGGGAGAGCTGAGCATATGCTTTTGCTCAGTATATGACATCTGTCTTGCCCAATGAAACTGTGACACACACTAAAGGTTGAATATTTTGATGCTGCAATTCGGTTAGTTTTACCTTCATTTCTCATTACTCAGTAGCTGGTAATTCCCATTTTTAAAATTTTCTGTTAAACAAATTCAGTGAGTACTTCCCTCTTCAAAAAAACTGACTATGCTAGAAGTTCTTAAGCTGAGTGACATTCAGCTGTTAAGGAAAAAAAATCTCCTATACTCATTTTATGATATGATTACTGTAGGCTTGTTGAACAAGTCTCTTAATGCATTTATAATCCTAACCAATGGTCATATTTATTTTAAAAATAACTCAAAACATTTTTTAAAAATCTGTGTATGGTATGTCTAGTACCAACCTTTAATCACAAGGAGTATATAACACAATAAAACACCAAGGTTTACAGATGAACTTTAACAATGAACTAGGTAGTTGTATATGAGAATTCTAAACACTTTTAAGTGTTTTTAAACAACAAAACTTTTTTTTCTAATTAAACAGAAAAGAGTTTGAGAAATGATTCAAGGAGGTTTAAAAAATACCTCGTCACTCAAGAGATTTCAGTGACCCAGACTCTTCAGTTTGACTCACTGACAAAAGTCTGGCCACCAGCTGAACAGACACAAACAATGCCTAATTTACTGTGCTATATAGACACACCTAGAACAAGATGTACCTTTCCACTACCTGTAGCATCTCGTCTAACTGTGCCTGCCCTGAAGTGAATGGATGTACACAGGAGGTGTCTCAAGATACTGTCACACCGCCCCCGGCCACACACATAGGGTTCCTTCCTTGAAAAAGCCTGTATAAACCTGGTCTATCTATCCTAAACCCTCATCAGACTTACAAGTCCTAAGTTGATAATTAATCTCACTGGAGAGCCTGTCATCCCCAAACTTTTATCGCCCTGCATTCCCCATTTCATGTTGACAGCAAACTCCAAGTGTCTTAGTTAATAAGCCTAAATAAATCCTTAAGTCAGGAATTCAGGACAGGTAATTATGAAAATTGGCATCACTGAAGGTCAGATTATACATTCATTAAGAATGCTTACTAAATAGCAGGAATTTAACTTTGTAAAGCTTTTTCTGTTAACTTATTTAACAATTACAGCCATAACAGAACATCAGTTGGTACACTGATGTTAATTTTGCCAAAGCTGTGGATTTGATGTCAGGTAGACAGACAGATAGACAAAAATATCAATATCAATAATATCAACTGTCATGAAAAAAGATTTCATTCTCAAACAGATGCCTTTAATTATTCCACCAAAACACCTTCATTCCATTAAACATTTTGTGTGTGTGTAGTACTGGGGAATCAAACCCAAGGGTGCTTTACCACTAAAATACACCCCAGCCCTTTTTATTTTTTGAGACAGGGCCTTACTAAATAGCTGAGATTAGCCTAGAACTTGTGATTTTCCTGCTTCTACCTCCTGATTCCCTGGGATTACAGGCATGTGCCACTGTGCATGGTCACATTATAATTTTTTGATGAGTTGTACAATGGGTAAAATTTCCTAAAGCTTACTTCTATTAACCCCTTCTTAGCCCCTATGCTATCAAACCCAAGAATTTAGAAAGGAACAATAAAAGATATAAGTAGGTTCATTTTCACGTAGTCAAAAGAAATTTTGAGCTGGACCCATGGACATGCCTGTGGTCCCTGCTCTTCTGAAAACTAGGATAGGAGGATATCTTGAGCCCAGGAGTTCAAGACCAATCTGAGCAACACTGCAAGATCCCAACTCAACAAAGAGGGACGGGTGGGAGGGCAGAATTTTTTTTTTTTAAACTTCATTAAGGTAGAGATGATGACAATTTAACTCTCAATTCCTGACCTGTTCCCTTTCATAAAGGTACATATTACAGTTCTGTGTTTTCTTGCTTCATGTCATTGCATTTTTTAAAACTATTATCTCTTGCTAGAGAATTCTAATACTATAATCCACATGGCTTAATTGCCATATATCATCAACTTAGCTTTCAAATTTTCATTAATTTCCTCTGGGCATCTTGCTAACAGACTTAGGAAAACTCATTTCAAGAGATAAAAGATTGAAGTTCCCTTAATTCTGCCTAGTAAATCAGTTTTGTGTCTCTCATTCTCACTCTACCATAAAATGGTTGGTTAGTTTCCTCACTTCTGAACTTAGCATATCCAATTACTCAAAATCCTGACCTTCCAAACTTCTGCTATGCCTATCCATTGAATGAATGGATGCCTACTGGTACCCTCTCCCTGAAACCAGTGTCCCAGCTACAGTAGGCATTTTGAGAAGTACTCCACCAAGTTAAATGCTGCTAAGAAAACAAGTAAGACCTTCAAGAGTAGAAAAGTGGCCATTGGATTAGGAAACATGGTGGATCCTTACACATGAGCAAGTTAGTGGACTAAAGTCTCATTGAATATTGTAAAGGGGGAAACAATAAGTAAGGGATTAGAAAAATGACAACCTAAAACTCTTCCCAGAAAGGTAGTTATGAAAGAGAGCAAGAGATAGGAGAGAGTAGGACATAAGAGATATCTCTTTTTTTAAAGAGTAGACAATATTTGAAGTCAAAGTAATAGGCTCAAGGATCAGAGAGTAGCTTCCGTGGGAACATTAGAGGAGAAGTAGCAGGACAGGGAATAGTGTTCAGAGTGGGATGCTTACAATGAAGATTTTCAATTTCAAAAGTGCTTGTATTGACAAGGTAAAGGGTCAGTCACAGGACAGGAGGCTCAAGTGTAATGGAGGAAAAGGATCATTGCAGGTAAAGATACTGTGGACTTTCAGGTCCCAAAGTTTGGACAGGTCTCTATATGGATTTTGAACACTCCAAAAATCGGGACAGGAGTAGGGTGAAAGATAGTGACCCAAGAGCTAAAGCAATCACTGAATTGTGTATAACAGGGAGATGTTAAGAGAGTCACCAGAAAATTCAGTGGATCAGAAAGACATGAACTTCACATTTGCTGAGATTCTTGAGGGAAGTGGGGTGGGTGTGGATATGGTTAAAAAGCAGGATTGGGAAAGGGGGAAGACACATGGGCCTCTCCCACAGGCCCTGAGATATACAGGTGAGGAACCAACACCTCTTCTTGGCAAGGCTCTGGGGAGACAGTGTCATGATATGGTAGTGACACTTCTGTGAGGTCTACCAAGAAGGTGAAGATAACAATCAGGCTTTCCTGATTGTTATCTTCAGGATGAGCTCTGGGAAACACAAAGGAAAATGGGGAACTGTGAGGTGGATGGATCATTTCTGAAGTGTGATTTGTTTATGATCTCACCTGTGTTTCCTTTTGCAGTACACCAAAAGATTATCAAAAAGAAAAAACACGCGTTCTTGAATATTTCCAGAAGAAATTTTCAGTAAGACTCCACACATCAACATTTCAGTACAGGTGTCAGTGATGTTAGATCCCTAAATTTAAAAACAAAAAATTAATTAATTAAATTAATAACTTCTGATTACTTGGTCAAGACCTTTGTATGTAAAGATTCTTCTCATTAAAAACTATACTTCAGGCTGGAACTGTAGCTCAGTGGTACAGCACTTGCCCAGCATATGTGAGGCACTGAGTTCAAATATCAGCACTGCTTATAAATAAAGAAAGGTCCGTTGACAACTAAATATAAACAACTGAATCTAGCTCTCCTTCACCTTCCAGGTTCCTCTTCAGTCTCGGCATAGATTCTGGATGTGTGTTCAGACAGTTAATGTATGCTTGCACAAGACAGACGCATCTATAATCATGTCATCTATGCTATTTTGAAAGGAGATAATTTCAAACTAATTCATAACATTAATGTTCATATTTTTTCTTTCTTCTTTGCTTCCCCAGTATGGATAAAAGGATCCATGGACACATAAAAAAGTGTATGAAACTGTTTAAATTTTTATCAGGCATAAATTTATATATCCACCTCTGATATGGAAAAGAAGAGAAAAAAATGATATAAAGGGAACAACCTTCCAAAGAGCCACTGATTTATTAAAGGAAGACATGGGAACCTTTATTGATTAAATAAGCCTTTACTGAGTGCCCACCAAGATTACATGACTAGCGACAAAACTATAATTTCTTTTTTGGTGCTTGAGATGGGACCCAGTCCTCCTGCATGTGAGGCAAGCACTCTACCACTGACTATACCTCTCAGCCCAACAATACTGATTCTTAACACAAAGCTAACCGTTAGACAATGAGAAGAGCCACAAGATGAAGGAGCCTGAGCCCCGAATCATCAACAGAGGAAAGCTGACCTTCTAATCAGAATACCCAGGGTCTTTGGTGTGAGCTGCACATAATTTTATATGGTGAGCCATTGGAAATGTAGAATGTTTCTATACCTAACCTATCAAATAATATGCTAAGCTGGATTAAACACATAAAGGAAGTTTTCAGCAGAGATCTAGCAGTGTTCTATGCAAGAGAATATCAAGTTTAGTTAGGTCTGGTTTCTTTTAATCTGATGTCAATTTCTGATTTATTGATTCAATCAATGTTTTTATTTTTGATTTTTAAAATTTCACATTTGCACAAAATCACTAATATAGTTTTTCTAGTCAACTATAAAAATTTAAATTAAAATGACAACTCTTATGTCTGCAATAAGAAACTTCCAATAGGGAACATAAATTAGGAGAAAAAGCTATTAGGTTAACTTGGTTATCTATATTACAAATACATTTTAAATTTTAGACATTTTCCTTTTTTATTTTTTTCATTCTGACAATAGATATATAAATTAAAATGTAAAAATTTTACACAATTTCATGTATTATGTCATGAGTTTGTTAAGCAAGGATTGTCATGAAATATGAATTGTCATGAAATATGAATATGAGTTGAATATGAATATGAATTGACTGTCATGAAATATGAACCTCAAACCCAGTGACTGGTGTCAATGGTGTCTTATTATTTATTTGTAAAGAATAGCACCTTTATCTTAGACAAGAAGCTAGAATAGAATTGAAAGATAGAAAAGGAAACATCAAATTGATTCTTAAATAAGACCTTGTATAACATTAAGGGAAGTAACTTTATTAGTAGCAGTTTTACTACAGGTGCAGAATATCACCCCCTTGGACTGGTGGTGGCCCATATAAGTCAACCAAGAATGGTAAATTGTATTGCAAAATGTTTATATTTTTGCAAAATGGTTATACTTTTATCTTGAACATTAAATAATAATTCCAAGTAAGTAACCCAAATTAACATAAGCAGATAATAGCAGATACATTCCTATACAACAGAAATCCTAACCTGTTGTGGATTTACAAATATAAGGAGTGTTTTACCTAAATTTGAGCCAACTATAATGGCAGCTTTATGTTACCACGAATTCAAAGTGCTCAGTAGTTACCAAAACCCCCAGCTATTTTTCCTCCACCCCATCCTTGAGTAATTTAGCTTTTTGAACCTCTTTCCTTACATCTACTATATATTCTTACATCTACTAATATTCATTATCATTGAATAGTCCTTTAAGTTGACTGTTATTTACCTTGTTAGTAGTTTTTCTTCATTTTTAAAATCAGTGTTCATTTTTCATTCTAAATATCTATTCTTCAGCAAATACACATTTAATTATTAAACAACCATGCATAACACATATTTTATCTAGATGAATTCTATTCATGCCAAGCAATGTGCTGAACATTTTATCCTGGTATGAATCTCTACCAAGTTGACCTCACTGTAATGTGGAACCACTGATTAGTTAACAACGTTTAAAGTCAGACTCCGTGATCACTTCATCTCATGAACTAAATGTTGCATGTCAATCAGAAAAACAACTGACCACGGAGAGAAACCACAGTCTTGGAAAAGATAAGAGAGGCTTGAAATTTCCATACTCATATATAATGCACAGACCAACCAAGATCTAAAGGAGCCAGGCCCACTCATGGTTCAAGAAAAGAAAACTGACCAGAATGACAACTTGATAGGTGTTCAATATCAATGATGTCTCTTTTTTCCCACACATTTTTAATTGGTGCATTATAGTTGTACATATCAATGGGATTTGTTATTAGATATTCATATATGCACAACATATATATATATATATATATATATATATATATATATATATATATATCAATATAATTTGGCCAATATCACTCCCCAGCACTTCCCCCTCCCTCCCTATCTCCCACCCTTTGGTCCCTTTCCTAGACTGATCTCCCTTTGATTTCCAGGAGATCCCCTCCCACCAAAGGTGTCTCTTGAGAAAACTAATGAATTGTGTAAATATTCTTACAAAAGAGCAATTTTTAAATGCTATTTAATAAAACATGAAGACTAGCATAACTGTATCATACAATTTTGTCATAAAATGAATATCCCCCCCAAAAAAAACAACACTCAACTTTTATTCATTTCTTGAGGTTCAAACTCAATAAAATTGTAAATGGAATTGTCATATATAAATCATACTGATAATGTTTATATTGATTTTGCCAAGATAAAACTTTCCTCTTCTCCCACTAGAAAGTTTGTTCCTCTGTTTAACTAGATTCATTCTCAGTGATCTTTTCACAGAACCACTTATCCTCAAATAACAAGGACCATCTATAACTCATTTCCACCTCAAGGTAGTAGATGAATTTGTGCCTGCCAAGTCACACAGCACAGAGTACAAAAGAAAGCAGCCTCATCACCAATCTCTGGAAGACTCAGGCTCAAGAAATAACAAAAGAACATGACATGCAGTCAGTACGCTGTATAGCACGCTCAATCAAACGGAGCAAGTAAATAGATTCCAGGATGTCTTCGACATGGTCTTGTAGCATTGTATTTCTCCATGAAAAAAAAGGTAATCAAAAATGCCAGACTTCTATTTCTCCTTACTTTCTAAATCACAATAATTATCTTGAATCTCATTTTCCCCAACACCTACAATACTAATAATCTTTCTCTTCTCTTTTGTTCAGACATGTTTTTCTCAGATTTGAAAGACCAATTCCAAACAGGAATATCAAGGATTTTAAAGTTCCATTACTAAACAATGTAATGTTGATGATATTCCCTTGTCAAAATACTTCTGTACAACTCCAAAAGTTACAGTTATCATAAATCAACCAAACAAGAAGAAGGATGAAACAGAATATTACTGTTCTACAAAATGAATCAGCTGATAAACTTCCCATCCAAATCACATTTCCATACCATTACCTTTGGTAGAGTATCTTGCAATGTTCTGCATGTTAGATAAGATATATAATAGATTATGCTAATAAAAGGCATGATTTCAGAAATGAACAATTAAACAATAACTACAGATCTTCTATGCCAGTTACTCCATAAATGCTAATAAAAACCTAATTTCTATCATCAACTTGCTGTAAAAGAAGAAGCAGGAAAACAAAACAAAACCCTTAATCCAAAGAATTGGCTCAATTTTTCTCTCAGTGTGGTTATAATATAACAAAGTAAGAAATACATGGAACTTTAGAATCAGGCTACTATTTTTCAAACTGATCTTGGCCTACCTGTGAGTTGTAAGGATGTAAGTTAAATAGTCCTCACTTTTTAAGTCTATATAATTGGGATGATACCCCAGCAAACTGTTGAGGCTCACTGCAAGGGTCTGCATATTGTCCATCCCCAAAAGGTTAATGTGCTAGTAGTGTTGAGGCGCTGGAACCTTTAAGAAGTGGAAATTTGTGGAAGGTAATTAGGTCATGGAGGCATTACCCTTAGGAGGCATTCATGAAGGTCTTATGGGATGGAATTAGTTCCCACAAGTGGGTTATCCTAAGGTAGCCTTGCAATGTAGTTGTACATGCAAAGGGGATTTGTTATTACAGATTTCCTCCCCTGAATTCCTCTCCACACACACCACATCATTGGCCTCTTCCTCCTACACTCCCGCCTCATAATGCCATCCACCATGAACCCCTCGCTAAAACTAAGCAGAGGCCTGTGACATGCTCCTGAACCTCCAGAACCATAAGCTAAATAAACCTTTTTTCTTTAAAAAGTACTTAGAACCAGGTATTTTGTTAGATTGCACACAGTGCCAGATGAGTACTTCCCAAGGTAGGTGACTGGCATTCTAGGACCTCTGCCCTTCCCTAAGAAAATGGATCCCCCAAATTAGTGGAATCTTAGAATTTCAATTCTGAAAGTTGAAAGAAGTAATATATGGATGGAAAAAAATACAAGAGCCTATTTATCTTGGCTAGGGTGCTGATGAGACAACCAGAAAGCCACAGCTGCCCTAATGCACCTTTAAATCTGAGAAAAGCTTTTCTATTGATTCTGTGAGTGGCCCAATATCTTTCAAATTAATTTTTCTTTTAATTCCCATTACTCGGAACTATACCACCTAAAGTAATCAACACCTTCAATGAAGAGGCACACTGGTCAAATGAGGGGAATTTCTCAAGGGTCAAGTCCCATTGCTGAAACCAAAGATTTAAAATACTATCATATTTGCAGAGCATTTTACAATTTTCAAAGTACTTTCACTTACTTCATTTGACCCCTACAATAATTCACACTGTATATAAAAGAGGTCTGACATATTACCCCCGAACAAAGGGTTGGAGTCCCGACGAAATCCAAAGTCTGCTCAAAAGCCTTGCTTTTCACTATGTCATATTATTTAGGAATGATAAATTTCAATTGCCATTTCACATAAATTTATATAAATGATAATTTAGCAGCATTTATTCACATAAATGACAATTTCAGATCCAAGAATTTATTGCAAAAACAATAAAACCTTCATTTGATTAATGGGAAAATGACACCCTGGGTAACTAAGTAACTTACATGAGAAAATTTCCAACTAAAATGGAAGTAGAGCAAATTCATAATGTATCGGACTTGGATGCCCTTCAAGAGAATTTTAGTTACTAAAGCAAGGGTGTCATCTTGAAGGTGGTCCTGAATGGTCAGCAGCTGTTTCACAGTGTTTGTCCAAGGCTTCTGACCTTGAAAACTCTTCAGGGAAGTCTGGCTTCTGTAAACTGTCTTGCCACCTACATCTGAACCTGGCCCTGTCCTAACCCCACAAGAGCCACACTGCATATACACAAAGCTGCCTTCAGGCTGAGCAGTAATTCCTGTTAGGCTTTCAAAAATAGCTCTTGGGAGCTGGGGTTGCGGCTCAGAGGTAGAGTGCTCGCCTAGCACATTCGAGGCCCTGGGTTCGACTCTCAGCACAACATAAAAAAAAATAAATAAAGATGCTGTGTCCAACTGCAACTAAAAAATAAATATTAAAAAATAGCTCTTGGTAACCCATTCCTGACTTCTCAGGGCCTGAATCCATTCTGTTGTCTAACTCTGCATTCCTATAGAATCCTACCAGACTTAGTTATTTCTCCTAAAGTCCTCAGAAGTGACCAAGATCTCTCCTCATCTCTCCAGGGTGGTGAACTGGAATGAGTAATCAGGTTCTGACCACAGGTTGCCAACCAGCTGGCTAAGCCCCACTCTAAGCTACATCCCCCTAAGAACCCAAACCCCCAACACTCTGTACAGTTGGGGTTGAACACACTCATCAAAATCTACTCAAGGCTGCCAGCCTTCTAGGGATAAGGCATTCACGTCACCTGTGCCTTCCCGATTTTCCTGAAAACTTCATAGAATTCCCTAAACACCACTAACTTTCTTTGGCTTCAATGCTCCACTTTTCTCTTGCATTCAGGATTGTAAAATCACCAAGGTGGTGCGTTAACTAGGTTTTCATTGCTATAACAAATACCTGGGACAAATCACCTTAGAAGAAGGAATAGTTTATTTTGGCCCATGGTTTTACAAGTCTCAATCCATGGTCACTTAGCCCTGTTGCTTCTGGCCTGTGGCAGCACAATAGGTCACAATGGAAACATGTGACAGAGAGGCTGCTCACCCCATGGTGGGCAAGAAGCAAAAGAGAAAGATGATGGGAAGGGGCTAGGTCCTAATATCCCTTTCAAGGGCAAGCCCCCAATGACCTAACTTTTTTTGACTACCTCCCATTAGTGTCACTGGCTAGGGAACCAAGTCTTGAACACATGGGCCTTTGAGGGGACATTCAAGATCCAAACTCTAACAGCTGGTAAGGCTGAGGCACCCTCTGTTATGGGCTACGTATGACATAATACAACCCACATATATCTCCCTTTGAATAGCTGGTGAATACTGTGCAAACAATACTGATGGTGTTTAAGGAATCTCCTTCTGCAGTAGATTCAATCTTCAGAATATACACCAGAAGGAAACAAAATTGAGACTGATTTGGTTTCCTTAGAGTACTGGAAGAAGTCTTTGAAATTCTTGTTTTAGGAATAAGCCTGGCAGATTTCACTGACAAATCCTGCAATTTAAAGCAAGTTTGTTTTTTTCTTCCAATGTTTGAGTGACAACAGAACTGCAAAGCAAACTTGACTCCATTTTTCTCATCCCAGCAGGACAACCACTCCCCAGGAGAGAAATTGTCATCATGAATCAACTGTAAAACACACAACCATTCTAACTGATTGAAAGAAGTGACATTCATGCCGAAATGGGAGGTCACCCTGGACACTTGAAATGGAAGAAGATAGCCAAAGAGGAAGCTAAGTCAGATCCGAGTTAGCATTTTAAAAGATTCACAGCAGAAGTAGACAAATAGAGGAGAATTCCTGAAGGAGAATGTTTGAAGTTTCTTTGCATCTCTTGGTGGATATAATTTTAGATCTAAGTGAAAACCAACATATTGAAGATAAGAAACAAATTAGTCAACTATAAATTCCTAAAGATAAAAGCAATTTACTTGGATTTATGTGATACAGCATTTGGCTGGGAACATTTTCAATCTTGCTTACACTTTTTAAAAATCATCTTAATTGCTTACTTTGTAACATGAAAAAAAATTATAGTAGCCCAAAGCTCATACACATTTAAGTCAAAACCATTTAAATTTTGGCTTATTTTTCTGTATAGCAGAAAAATTTCGTAGGACTCCAACCCCCATGAAATAATTGGGACCCAAAGTTAACGACAGCTGAGAAACATCTTACAGATTCTGGCCCATAGACTTCATTTGCATTTTTGTCCTTTTTAAAGCCTTTCCTTAATGACTCATGAAACTATAATGTTTTTTTCATTTTGAACAGACCTTAAAAATCAAATCATAGAGAGTTCTTCCATTTTAGAAATGAAGAAATCAAAACTTAGACTGAGTGGACTTAAAATGAAATTCAACATCTAACACCTAGAGTCTGAAAATAATATCACAACACACGTAATGGACTTTACTTCCATTCTTTTTGTTCACTCAAGGATAGGACTATGATTTGTTGACCAAAGTTAAGACAGGGAAAAGGATAGTTTGTAAATCACAAATTCTGAAATACCCAAGTTTAGAACCACACGGTGTGTACTGGCTCCATCATTAACTTCTCCGAACGAGACTGTCATTAACTGCTACCTTAAACATATTGTGAGCCTTTTTCAGAATTGATCAGGGTCCTTGAGCAATATCTAGGAAAACAACCACTTATGGTTCCACCAATGCCAATAATTCCACAGGACAGGACCTAAGAGAACTATCTTAATCTCCATAGTGGGCCAAAATGGATGTACCTCCCAGCCTTCAATGTGAGACTGCCATTCCTCTAAAACTTCTAACTTCTCCATCTGTCTCTTGGCCTCGTTTATGTTGGAACAGACTGCTTTCATGGCTTGGAGGGCTTCCATCACTGCCACGTAGTCACTGTGTTTCCGTGGAGTCCTCTTCAGCAACTCCTGTTTATACACACCAAAAAAGGAATTACCCTTTGATCTTCAGTTTTCTGGAACAGTAGGTTCAGACTGACCAGGAAATGAAAATCACAAAGATCCTGAGAGCCACTTTAAGTGACATCACAAACTCCAGTGAGAGTAGGATCAAAAACAAACATGGAATCAGTGAGCAAGCATGATCCCAACGCATATTTTCCAATCACTCCAGTTTTTTCCCCTCAAACTTATTTTATTTTTAAAAACAAAGTTACATTTCTTCTTTCAAGTCATCAAATAACTCACCTGGAGCATGTAAATTTTTTTTATTTATGTTTGACTTTTATCCTAACAGAAGCACATCTTTATATCTTAATTACATTTTCCTGGAGTCTTTAACAAAATAAATCTTCAAATAAGTAGGTTCCATAATGTCAAGAATAATTTAAATGTCTATTTTCTAACATTTTTTTGAGAAACTAAGCAAAGCAAAATTTATGCATGTCTTACATTCAGCAAAATAGTTTACACATTTCGCAATGCTCCATCATTAAGGAGCCATTTACAGGGCTGGGGTTGTAGTTCAGTGGTAGAGCGCTTGCCTAACATATGTGAGGTACTGGATTCAATCCTCAGCACTGCATAAAAAAAAATAAATAAAATAAAGGTATTGTGTCCATTCACAACTTAAAAAAATTTTTAAAAAACAGCAATTCATGTTGTTTCCACCAATTACTTAATTCCTCCTCTGTGATGAATGAAGAAACACATATCCAATATGTTCCTTTTTGTTTGGGTGTCTAGGGGGTTGGGGGGAATTTTAAATTTATGTTTTTTCCATTCAGGATATCAAAATTAGAGTAATCTTTAATCTTTTAAATATATTAAAAGGTCTTGTTAGCTATTGTTTAGAAACACAAAATTAAACATCTTCACCCACTGTCTAGACAGTTGTGACCACATTACTTTTAATTAGTCATTTGTTTCCTTACTATAGTTGCCATCATGTAGCTAACACAATTACAGAAACCCTGAGGCAGCCCTTCAAAAGAATTTTCTTAATTCCCAACATGCAGTGGAAAGTGGGCAGTTCTTACACTCTCCTGAGTTGCCCAACTTTGACCCTGCATTTGGTCGGTTCACATTCTGTTCTGGAGAGCTAACACCAGAAAAAAAAAAAACTCGTTGTGCCACTCCCAGGACAAGATTTAAAAGTTAAACTGGATCACAAACCCATAGAGGAGAAATACAGCCTTCACCAGGAATTCTGTGGGGTCCAAGTACTTGTAAGTTATGTGAAGTGGTCAAGCCAACCTGTAGGCCATGAGATGGGTCTCTACGGGTTGAATATAGATGATGTGAAATAACAAGAGAAACCATCAATAATAACCTGGCAGTTATTGGCCACACACCTTGTGTTGACTGGTTGACTCAATCATTTCAAGTTCCACAGACCAATGGTTTATTTTTTGAACACTTCTGTTCCAATACCTTTAATATTTTTCTCTGAATAAAAAAAAAAAATCACTCCAAATCAAAGAGAATCCCAGCACAATTCTTCAGCTGATGTAACAAACATCAACACCAATACTTCTGCTACAAGAGTAAATAGTTTTTCCATGTTTGTGCAAATAGTATTCACCAAAAGGGAAAAATCATCTTCTTAATATTCCCATCCCTTCTTACTCTTAGAATAAACAAATTTCTGTTGGGCATGGTGGTATACACCTGTAATCCCAGCTATTCAGGAGGATCACAAGTTCTAAGGAGCCCAGTGAAGTTAGTGAGACTGTGTCTCAAAAAATAAAGATATAAAAAGGGGTGGGGATATAGCTCAGTGATAGAGTGAGTACTTGTTCTGGGTTTAATCTCCAGTAGGAGGAGGAAAGGAAGAAAGGAAAGAAAGAAAAAAGGAGGGAGGGAGAGAGGGAGGGGGCAGGAGAAGGAAGGAAGGCTGAATCATAAATCCTCCGAGATTCCACAAAATTTAGGACAAAGAATAACTGCAGTTATGAATACACATACAAACTGAGTTCCATAGTTAGAGGGCTGTAGGGATTCTCAGAAGGAAAGAAAAGAATTATTTACACCAATATTCTCTACTTCCAAAGACTGTGCCAAAGCTTTGCACAACTGGAGACACCTGCGTTAGCTTCTCTGTATGAATATTTTTATGATTTAGCCAAGAAACTTTTGACTTTCTTATAAGAGGCATTCTTTTCAAACATATTTTACACAGATAAACTTTATGCAACTGACAAAAGTTGCAGTTAAATTTATATCTTAAAAAATAAATCAACAAAAACACCATTTAATGTCTATACCGTTTCTATTTTTAAAAATGTAGATGTCAACTAGATATTGATGTATTAAAATAAATCAGAATCAAATAGAATAATGGATAAAATGTATAGAGTGCATGCTATGCTAAATGACTTATATAAAATAGTTAATCATTATGCTAAATTCTATGTGCACATGTCATGCATATTCACTCACAAACATAGAGATATACATTCTCATAGTTACATGTTATAATTTATTTTTCTTCTTCTTCTTTTGGCATAATCACATCACCATCTCTGTTTCATCAATGAAAAATCAAGGCTTGAGGGTTTAGATTACATACCCTTGTCAGAGACCTAGTAAGCACCATACTTGGGATCTGAACTCAGCTCATGTACTCAATAACTACTTCCAACTGCCTATCCTGATGGTATAACTCCAAAACACAGCTTTAAAAATTGACACTCTAACCTATTCATTAAACCTTGCAGTAAGTGTAGTAGTTAGGACAGTACAATATATTTCTCATTATAAAAATATTGCTTCCTATAATGAGGCTACAGATTTATAACCATTATTGGGCCACTTCTTGTCTTTAAGAGGTGTGGTATTTTCTTAGCAATATCATCTCATTTCTACCATTTATTGTCCCATCTGATCCACCCTATTTCCTTACAATTTTAAAACCAGACTCTGAAATTAATGCAATTTTGACATTAACTTCATTAGCATCATGAAGTCACCAAAGTTTGGGAAAATCAAAAACTATACAAACTGTGGTTTCACTTAAAATAGCTAAAGGGCTATATGAACTAGACATAATGCACTTAATGGGATCTCTCTTCAAACTAATGCATTTATTTTCTCTAAATGAAACTCAAACAAGTATGTTTTCTACAAAGAGCACTAAAAGCCTTTTTCAGTGGCTTTTCTACTAGAAATATGCTTCTACCTCATATATAAGTTTGTGACAAAATAGCCATTTTTTTCCAGTAACTATGGCCTGCCTTTTTAAAAAGAATGTCAGACTCTTTAAAAGACAAATCTTTAAAAGATCATCAGCAAAATATGTAGGCATAAAGAAAATGCTACAATGACAAAGCGCATAAAATACCTTCAAGAGCAGAGGGTACTTGCATATCCTTTGAATCGGAGTTACCAAGTATCCTTCCAAGGGGACATCTGTATTATTTCTTCCTCCGAGCAACATGCAGTTCTGAGGTGGAAATAAACATAATTAAGTACATTCTGTAAACCTGAGGCTGTGAAAATTTCTTCTATGGTAAAATGTTAGGCTGAAAAGTTGTGAAAGCCTGTGTCCATAGTCTTCTTTCTCTGGGACGAGCACATTGTTCTTGTCACAAATAACACAGAGACAGAGAGAAATACCTTGGTCTTTCAAATAGAATAGAGAATCCAAAATATGTTTCAATGTATAGCTTAAAAATTAGTTTATATATTCTACCGAGAATAATGTTTCAGGGAAAAGGTAGAGAGGGAGAGGGAAAGAGATGGATGGGTGGACAGATGATAGCTAGACAGAGGAAGGATAGAGATTTTGTTTATAAGGAGAGATACACTGCACTGTAAAAGAGCAAGTGTCCAGATAATTGGTTTCTAACTTCTAACCCAGGCTCTTCCACTGGCTGGTGACACAGCTTGGACTAACCTCAGAATTCCACTTTTCCTCTCTGTAAAATTGGTAGGTTTTAACCAAGTGATCTCTAAGCCACTTTTTGCTGTCCCACTCTGCCAGACACCTGGCAGCCAACTCAAGAGAAGTCAGTCAGACAGAATCTCCGAAGATTCAAGGTGAATGGAGAAATCCTTAAATCAGTAATCACAGTGAACTGAAATTGAAGGCACGTCCAATGACCGTAGAGTAGTGTTTAAGAGAAAACTGATTCCAAAAAATAAAGCCACCATTTCCTAAACAATGCAAAGAAACAGACTCAAAACTTGCCAAAAATCTTATGACCATCGTAATTAAATATATATTAGATAATAAATATCCAATAAAGGGAGAAGAGAGCCTCTCAGATGTCAAACTGGTGAGTTAGCACCTTTCATGACATTGCTTTAAAACACTGTCCCTTCCATATTCATTGAGAAGGCAACCAACTGCTGAGCAGGAACCCATGCAAAAGGAAGACCAATGGTGGGGAGAAAAAATAGCCGAAGCCAATCACCACTTTAGACTGGTTACATATATATACTGTAGAATCTTTATGCATGTGTAAACATATGCTGCCTAAACAATCCTCCAGAAATTTCAATGATCATAAATTTCAATGATCATCATACAGAGGTGGTAGCATAACCAAGGGGCCAAATCCAGGAACTCTTTGGATGTTTGTCAAAGGGTATTGTCACTATTGAATAAGGAAATGAATAAGGAAAATGACACCAGAGATGTAATCTCTATCCTAAGGTCATCCAGATAATTCAGGGTGAATGCATGCCAGGGCAAGAAGTAGAGAAGCAGGTTCCCTCTACACAGGCCATAGAAGCACCTGAACGCAGCATTTTATCTAGGAACTTTATTTTATCTAGGAACTTTACACAATTCACTCGGCCAACTAGATTAAAAGTAGAAAAGAACGTATTAGGCAAGAATTCTCACACTTCAGAAAGAGCCCAAAACGTTCAGTAAGGTAAAGGCTTTCCTAGCGATGGCAGAAGAGATGATCAGTACACCCTCTTTCCAAATGACAAACCAAAAAAGACCAATTTCACGACTCTAGAAATCAACTGTCGTAGAACAAATGCAGACGTGTTTGTTCACGAGGAATTTTTAACCTGAGGTAAGAACACTGAGAGTCTGCAGCATTCTTGCTTAGACTTATCTTCTCCCCGGAACCCATCCCCACCCGCAGCTCATACTGCATAGAGGTTTTCTCCAGGCGGTACCATCACAGTAGTGATGTCAAGAGGAAGAGATAAGCCTGGGAGGAGAGGGAGAAGGGCCCCTAGGTAACTTCCTGGCAGTAGAGCACAAACAGCACCTGCAGATATTTGCTAAGAAACTTACAAAGAGGCTATTTTTAAATCAGGACCTACGTGACTGGGGTCCATGCCTCTCCAAAGAAGGAAAAATACCTGATTGATATTTTATTGGACTAAAGTCTGCATGAATACCTCATGGACACCGAATGCCTTATCCAAAATTGGGCAGGGGGCTGACTTCCTTAAATTTACAGATCTATATAAATCCCTGGACAATAGTCACTCTTGGGTATCCTCTCTTGGGAACCCTCCTTCTTTGGTAGCTCTACTTCCTTTCTGTTACTCTAATAAATCCTGTTACTTTGCTCTCACCCTTGTGTCCATGGATTTTATTCTTCAAATTCATGAGACAGGAATCCAACCCCAAACTCTGGGCTACAGTAGCATTAGCCTGGAAAACTTTCTGCCAAATGGGGATATAGGGGGATGTAGAGGGCAGGAGTGCTGTCAATTAAATTAGAACTCCATAAAGAAAACAGGGAATGCCCCTAGTTTCAGCAGCCTGAGACTGCAGTCTTGTTTGGGGCAAGGGTAAGACTAGCAGATTAGCCAAAAATTTACAGGGAAAATATGGAGTGCTATAGATGGCTTAGAGAAACTCTACATTTATCTCTGGATGACTGGGAAAGCTGTATGCACTTGCAGAAAACAAAGACCTGAGAAGATCCCTAGAAAGAAAGACCTGAGTCAACTTGCAGACCGACCACCTGGCCTTTGAATGTGTCCATACCCACACTCACACACAGATCCATGGACAAGAGAGAGAATTATGCTCTGAGAAATCACTGGCTGACCACTAAACTAAGCAGTCAAATGAGGGATCTCTAAAAAACAAGTCTGAATTATATGAAAATAAAGTGAGCAGAGATATCATCAGCTGAAGATAGATGAGAAGAAAGATTCCTCAAATAAGTCGAGGCAAGTTATTAAAAACAAAGCAAAGAAACGAACAAATAACAATAATCAATCTCATGGAGAAAATATAGAATCCAGAATTGCTATCATAAGTTATTTAAAATGTCTAGTTTTTAATTTAAAATTATGATATGCAAAGGAACAGGAAAATGTGACTCATACACAGTCAATAAAAACTCTGAGTATACTTAGATCCTGGATTTAGCAAACAAAGACTTTGAAACAACTATTATGAATATGCTCAAAGAATTTTTTGAACTGAAAGACAATATGTTAACAGTGAATAAACCAATAGCAAATCTCAATAGAGAAACAAACTATAAAGTCAAAGCAAATACACATGGGATAGGCTACACGGCAGGTTTGAGATGATAAAAAGTCAATGGAAATCAAGGAACGTGAGGGACTTTTTAGGGTGATGGACATACTAAAAAACTGGATTTGGGGGGTGGTTGTATCACTCTGCACTCTGCTAAATATCACTGAACTGTACACTTACAATGTAGTTCTCTGTGGTGTTTAGATTATCCAAGTAACTGCCAAAATATGCATTTATATATGCTGCCTTAAAAAATTAAATATATATTTTGCTGGTTTCGTGAAAACTACTATATATAGAATGGTCTTTACATTTATTTTCTTCCACATCCTTGATTTGCCTCCTGTCTGCCACTGCCCTACTTAAAGCTCTTGGGAGAAGGGAATAAAAACCCTAGGGAGCTGAAAATACAAAGCAATGATGAACTGTGGCAGAAGTTCTTTTTTCACTAGAAATCTGTGGGGTCTCACAAGCAATTTATGATCATCCAGGAGAGGGCATTAGCAGGACTTTCCTATAGAGAACTCTGTTCCAGCTCTAACTGCTTACAGTCATCAAAGGACCGACCCTAGCTTCTCAGCCTGGGTATGCAAAAAGTCATCTCACAAAGAGCTTTTTACACCACACTGATGCTTCCTTGATTCTTCCTGGGCCCATCAATAAACATCAGCCTAGGATAACACATAGAAATACACTTACCAAAAGAAACGTCCGGATTGTTCTTATTTTGTTAAGTTCAAGAAGCAATTTTTGTGCCTTCTCATGGTTGCTACAGTATTCATCATAGATACGAAACCTGTCTTTCTGTGAATTCAAGATAGAATAAATTAGAGTCAGCTTATTTGCCATTTTGAAATTTTAATCTAGGTGATGATATACATAAATAAACTTTACTATGTCTCAAGAGCCACTCTGGGTGTGTACATGTATTTGTTTGTTTGTTTCCTTGTTATTTATGTGTTTTCCCTGATCCATAAAAAATAACCTAGAAAAGGAGACAGATATATATTATTATATTCCAATATGATGACTGCAGTAATAAAAAAAATGAATCAAAGTGGTAGCAAAGTACAGAGAAGAGAGCACTCAGCTTTGCCATGAGAATGGAGCTTTAAAAATGCCATTACTTCTAAGCAAGGTCCTGTGGAATAAATCCATGATTCCCAGGCAGGTAGAGGGAAGAAAGGTATTTTTGACCAAGGGGGAAAGCATGTGCCATACAAACCTGCAGTTAGTAGACACCAATCTGAAACGTTGTGCTTAACAGAGACATTGACATACAGGGCAATATCCAGCAACAAGTGACTAAGATAATGATAGACCCTGAGACATGAGATCTGTGAGGTCATTTCAGAAAGAGATATCTGTTGGTTTAGAAAAGTCAAGGAATAATAACTACTTTCAAATAGCTGTCATACTATAAAAGAGTAACAATTCTAGGTAGCTCTCGAAAAGAACATTAGGATCATTAGGCAGAAATTGCAAGGGCAGTGATGGACAGATGTGGGATCAATGCAGAAATCTAGTAATTAGAGCTGTCATTAAAAATGATGAAGTAGGAACACAAGGAAGTGGTGAAGGTGTTCCTGCCCGGTCTTCATAAATGGATAGTGGAGTTTTTCCTTAAAAGAAAAAAAGTGATTTTACTCGTAATTCCTAAGCCCCACTCTATCTGTAAGATTTTTTTTTTCCTCAAAGTAGCTAGGAGGTATCAAGGAACAACAAAAGAGGAAGACACAAAAAATAATTGATCAAATAGTAGAACAGAAGTGTGTCCTTTGAAATTTCAAAGGCATGCATTCAGAAACATTAAGCCCTATTTTATATAGCCAGCACAGAATGTACTGAACTACTTATCTCAAGAAATGGTATGAGCCAGGAAAAAAAAAAAAAAAAACTTCAGAAATAACTTAGCTAAATTCAGGGATGACAGATTCATAATGTGCTACTAAGGAAGTGACTGTCAGGACACAAGATTCCCATGTGCACCCCTGGCTTGAGATAGCAACTGCTTCAGCTGGCAGAAGATTCTGATCCCTTCATGAAAGGAAACAGGACACAAACACCCATAGCCTCCAGTTGTGCCCAAGAAAAGCATGGCTTGATCTTCCTGCTCCCAAGAGCCTCCCCCCTTTAAGATAATCACCTTCTTGAAATATTTTGACTAAACAGAGCCTACTCATCACATATAGATATAAAAATCACATAGAAAAACCTTCACAAAAGACTAAATGGAAAATCAAAAATATACAAGGTTGGATTTCTATAATGCTGTCACCCGTTTTTTAAGTAAAATATGAATTCTGTAGCATTTTGATAAATACATGGACTCAAATTGGTATTCTGAAAATGAGCATCTATGAAATGGCATAAACAGCAGCATGCTTGCATGCTTTTTTTTTTCTTTTTAAAGTATGAATGTTCTCTAGCCTGGAAACCATTCTCCCTGTACAGGTGGCTTCTAATTTTACACACTGATTGCATAAATGATTTCAGCTATCAAATATAAAGACACGGAAACGATCACACAGGCACGGGGTGTGTAACCTGAGAAAAATTGAGCATCAACTGCTTCTTCCTTCCATGCTGCTCATTCAGAACAACCTTCTGAGAAGCCACCCTTGAGGAGAATTCAGTGACAGGCATACTGGGTTAGTTCACCTCCAGCTTTGTCACAAGCCAATTAACAAGGGAACATTCTGACTAGTAAAAGGCTTGAAGTGCATTATAAGAGTGAGGATTTTCCGCCTCAAAAGAAAAATGCTCTATGTTTGAGAGAAACATAAAAATCCATTCATTATGAACAGCCTGAATATTCATTAGAATTCAAAGCTACAGAGGATGCGAAGAACTAACTTGTCAGGAAAAATAAAAGGCTGTTTATTCTTTGCTGAGTAAAATGGATGATGCAGGGCACTCTCCCCATTTCTGGCTTGAAGTGCAAGATTTCATTGGCCTTAAAAGACCCTAAACTTTTGGCATCCCATTTTATTTCTAATGCTGAATTCACACATAGTACTATGCCAAGAGCTAAACCTTAAACTCAAGAAAGGCAGAGCTTGTAAAAGAAATAAAAATGTATCCTACAAAGTGAAGAAAGCAGGTCCCCACTTCCTGTTGAGCATTGGGTTCTGGGTGTAGGCATTCTTCCACGACTTTTAAGAATTCTTTATGTACTGCAAGGATATCTTCAATGTTTGAGAACAACATCTGTATAAAAGAAAAAAAAATGGGTAAGTGCAACAGCGAAGCAAGTTGAAAAGAAAAAGGAGAAAGTCACCTTTGCATTCTCTTTGCCTCTCCCAACATGGCAGTTTCCGCAAAAAAGTATAAGGGGAAGACTATCACCCCAATGGGCTATGAGGGTACAATAGTCTCTCTCCAAGTGAAACCTTCAGTGGATAGCTACCCACATCCATTCCTTTCTCTCACCTTGCTGGCAGAACCCCAACTTTGTCTGAACTTCCCCTGTACTCCCACACTCTGGGAACCAGGACCCTATTCTTGGCTCTTAGGGCAAAGCCTGAGTCTCCAAACCCAAGCATGACAGTCCCACCATTTCCGGGATGGGCTTCAGGTAAAAGTTTAGGAAGGCTTGTTGGCAAGCTTTTGGGGTACATGTGTCTTTGCTCCTAAGAAGAGTATCCTGAATGGACAGTCTCCTTCTCCTTCTAGAAGGTGCTGTGGCGGGGGGGGGGGGGTGACAAGTAGGACAGCTACAGGGTCACTTCACAATCATAGGAGAAGCCAGCTCAGGAGCAATGCTGATAACCTGGATGGCAGAGGTTAGAGAAGATCTAGTAACTTCTTGGCCTCCCTGAATCACTAAATGGAACTTTTCTTTTATTCAGAGACCTCACTCTGTGAGTGAAAGTGTCTTCTAGTCCATCTGAATTATAGGTTACTTTTTCTTGCAACCAAAAATTCACTAACTGAAATACTGCCATGGCAGGAAACTTTGAAATGAAATTCATCAAATTCTGTTATGTGCATGTATAAATATGTAACAATGGCACCATTGTGTATAACTGTAATGCATAATTAAAAAATAAAAGAAAGGTGCTTAAATTATGAGGAAATAGGGTCAGAAGAACCTAAAACATCCTCTGAAATTTTTTCAGCAAAATAAAACAGTAAGTTAGCATCAATACCAACAATGATTTATACAATTTAAATAATCACTATAGCATACTTAGTTTTCATTTGCCATCCTTTTTCGTTTCTTCACAATTTTTCCTTCACTATTCTGTGTGTGTATATGTGTGTGTGTGTGTGTGTGTGTTTTGCTGAGAATGAAACCCAGGACCTCTACCATTGAGCTCCATCCCCAACACCCTTTTCCTACATATTAAAAGAAAATACTTATACGTTTATGTCTGACTTAAAGATATCATGTGGACTTTCTCTGATGCACCACAGTAAAATATCCAGGTCTGAATTCTTTAGCTATCACAGAGACAGGAAGTCACATTTGCCCACGCCTGCCTTCTTGAACAACCTCTAGCAATCGTCTGACACCTCCCTCGACTTCCTCCCTCTCCTAGACACTGAAGTTCTTAGTCGTATTTCCTAGAATTTTTTTCCTTCCTCTTTGCAAATATCTCCACGATCTTGATTTGAAAAAAATAAAAATAAAAATTCTCTATGCCCTAGGTGCCGTATTCTTGACCTCCCTTTATCCAAACCCTAATTACACCTTTTCATACCATTACCAATGCAAATGACTGGCACAGGAACTTAGAATAGAACCACAGTCACACTGAAGATACTGAAGGAGCATCCCACAGGGACCACTTTATCTATGGGGAACTCATGCCCTCTGCACCCCCTCACCTTCACTGTTTCTTCTGTTACATTCTTGTCCACCTTTGCTGCAGCACACTGGTTCATTCTATGTAAGAATGCCTGCATGAAACAAGAAAAGACGTTATGAAGGGAACAGAAGGTTCATAAAATGACTGGGTGTTGATCAAAATCCAATTCATTTTTTACAAAAAAAAACAAAGCTCAAAAATCCAATAGTTGAGTCAAATGCTGGCCATTAAGCTTTGACTAAAACAGTTTTGTTACCACATGTCAGATCCTGGTGCATTGCTCTCTACCTGAGAATCAAACTCCTTTTATGATGTTAAACAGAGCCCACAATGATCAAATCTATATGAATTAAATTTATCCACCAGTAATAAAAACTTACTTAAGTTCTGGAGTAAATATTTAGGGCCAGATGTTTCCTAAATGTATAAGCATTGCAAAGTACAAAGAGACTAAAATCTAATGAAAAAATGGTATTTCTGATTAAAAAAAAATCCAGGAATTCTGAGGTGACTCCCTTAGAAGTGAGAGAGTCAGAAATAGATACATACATACACACACATCCCTGCCAATAACTATTTTCAGGTTCTAAACGGAATGAAAGAATTTCCTTTCCTCACTTCCACTCCATACGAACACACTTTCAGGAAGCCAGAATTTAAATTTCTGGGTTCAGGTCAGAGCTCTTCATTTCCCTGTGGTTGATAAATGAGCACAATAGTATTTCAAAGATCCAGGCTCAAGCTCAGGATGTATCTCAGAGGTAGACAGCTTGACTAGTAGCATGCTCAAGGCCCTGGCTTCCATCCCCAGATTGTGGCAGGGAGGGGATGGAGACTTCTCGATGGCCATTAAGCTTTGACTGATACCTAAATAGAGCATGATGATTGATTGATATTGAGCTTTAAAAAAACAAAGTTTTAAAAGACAAGGAAAAGGAGACATTCCATTTAGCAAATCTGGTTTATACCCTCAAAACATCATCTATTAACTATACAGTGACCAGGTAAGATCATCCAGAGCCTGGGAATGTTGCTTAGTGGTAAAGCATAAGCAAGCAAGTGTCCCTGGGTCCAATCCCAGAACCACCACAAAAAAAAAAAAAATTCATTCCTTCCCTTGTCTAAGAAGTTTGCCACCACCCGCAAGTCAGGACAGGACAGAACTGTACAGGACATCAACTACTCAGGGCGATACAGAAGCACAGGAGAACCTCAGGCTATCACATCAAACAAACAAAAACTAAGGCAAGAATCATATCTTTGGTAGGTTATATTTACTAAGATTTAGGAGATTAATAAAAATTTACAAAGACTTAAGAGATTAACACAGCCCACAATTGTTCATAATGTTCCAAAATTATCATTGCTACATATTTCTAAGGACAATTTGAATATATCTTAAAGGGTTTGGTTTTGTTTTGTTTTGACTTTCTTTTTCTTTCTTTTTTAGGTTGTAGGCATTGAACCCAGGGCTTTGTGCATACTGAGCAAGCACTTTACTAATGAGGCACATCCCCAGCCCTTTCTCAAATTTTTAAAAGGGCATTTCTTTTAATCTAGAAATCCTACTTCTATAAATTTATCCTAAAAAATATTCAGACAATGGGTTTCAGAGCCCGGCATAGTGGCTCACACCTACAATCCAGGAGTTCATGAGGCTGAGACAGGAGGATCACCAGTTCAAAGCCAGCTTCAGCAATGGTAAGGAGCTATGCAACTCAGTGAGACCCTGTGTCTAAATAAAATACAAAAAAGGGCTGGGGATGTGGTTTAGTGGTTCAGTGCCCCTGAGTTCAATCCCTAGTACCAAAAAACAAAAGCAGGGTGTGGGGTGGGGGGTCAGAACACTGATTAGAAAAGGAGAAATACTGGAAACTATTGAAAGGTCTATCAATAAGGGAATCACTAAATACACTACAGTATATACAAATGATGGGTACTGTGGTTATGACAAAAGTACAACCATAAATGGAATGTGAAGGGGCTGGGGATGTAGCTCAGTTGGTAGAGTGCTTGCCTTGCATGCACAAGGCCTTGGGTTCAATCCCAGCACCATTAAAAAACAAAAAAAGGAATGTGAAGAAAACTACACGTACACACATATGCAAATGTGTATATAGGACAGATAGTCTTAAAATATTGTCTGGTGAAACCCATGTATTAAGTAGCACACCTAATATATATGTATATCTACACACATGTATAATGTGTCTATTCATACTGAAAAAATTAGGTAGCATATATACCAAAATGAAAACAGTAGTTACCTACATGTGGTAGGAAGGAGGCCTTTGTGCACCTTATTTTCAAAATACTCAGCATAACTTGTGTTTTGTTAAAAAAAAAAACATTGAAAAGAGATCAAACAAATGAGCCCTCAAGAACTCAATTCTAGCATAAGCATCAACACCATCCTTATTTCTGATTCCACCAATTCATCTTTCAGATTCTATAACTATAAAGACATATCAAAACTAGTAGCCCCAGCCTAGAATCCTAACAACTTGGGAGATTGACACAGGAGGATTGCAAGTTCAAATGTCTCAGCAACTTAGCCAGATCTTATCTCAAAATCAAAAAATTTAAAAAAGGCTGGAGATGTAGCTCAGGGGGAAAGTACCCCTAGGCTCAATTCCCAGTACCTAACAAAAAAAAGACACAAAAAAACACTCTTAGCCCCAACTCTTTAACATCAGCTGAATTAAATAAAATGAATAAGTATTAGCTGTAACCTTCATTTTTATTGAAAATATGTGATACAATTGTTGAACTATTATCTGAAGTTATACATAAATGGCCATGGAAAATGATTTTTGAGTACCATTTTAATTAGTTTTATTCTGTTTAATTTTTAATTTTAGTTTTGCTTTTCTTGAGTATTTTCCAAGTGCTCATACCAGATATTCTCTTTAGATCTTTTTATTTAGTCTTAAAATAACATGGGTGGTTTATTTGCCTAGTTTACATTTTACATTAACCACACAGTAAACAGGTAACCTCTCGTGCAAGTAGAATTTAAACTTCACCTCTGCAATTATAAACCTCTTCTTCATAAATAGAACCCAGTCACATTCTGAAACCAAAAATTTGAAAGCTACAAAGTTGAGTCAAAATGTAAGTTAAAAGGGAACATACAAACTAATAAGGTATACCACATCTTTATCTGACAATTTTTTAATCTTCTTACCCTCCAGGACAGTATGAAATATTTTGTTAAACTGTATATATAAGGAAACCTGGAACATGCCAGCATCTCTGACCAAGCATTTATTTTTCCTAAGGGCTTCATTTTATACAACATTGAAGGCAGATTTAGATGGTTTACTGGGAATGCACAATCATGAAAACTGTTGACATTTTTTAGAAAATGTTTAAGTCTTTCTTCCTGAAAACAAAAATAAATACATGTTTTCAGAACCACCCTTTAACAACCAGTATCCACAGAGAGAGTTTTTTCAGTCTCTGGCAATTGGGCATTTAATCTTCATATCAATCAAGGAAACACTAGTAATCTAGTTAAAAAAAAAAAATATATATATATATATATATATATATATATATATGAGGGATTTTATACACTGTTTTCTGTCTGCATTCATTTATTATTGCTTGTCCACAATTTCATCAGAATTAGACAATCTTCATCTTGACAAGTATATTTGAAAATAAGCGTTGGAAAACAGCTGTTAATGCCAGTGATTCTCAAACTCTATATTGTATTTAAGACTTAGAGAGTTTCTCCTAAATACAGATTCCTAACCCTAGTCCTGAAAGGCCTGATTCAGCAGACTAGTTTACAACTCAGGAATCTGCACTATGAGCAGGACTCCTCAGTGACTTGCATATTGGTCAAGGGACCACCTTTTGATGGACAATCCCTGATGATTATTCTTCCAGATGGAAAAAAAATAAAAAACAAGGCTTAGAGGAGCACATAAGTGACTCTTAATGGGAAAAACAGGTCCTTTTATTTCATTCTGACTTCGAAATCAAGTAATGGTTATCTTTGTCCATCATCTTCATATTCAACCTTGTGGGGTTTTTGGTGCCCTGACCAAGGATTGCCTTCCCACCCCACTCCATGAAAATTACATCTTGGGCTACACACTGGTCATGATCATCTCTGAAGGCTTGAGAAATACAGAGATAGGTGGTTGAAAAATGATAGGATGTGACCTTTGAAGGAAGTGAAGCTGGGAGGTGCCACTCCAAGGACTTTCAACCCACAGGTGTCACAGCAATACACTCAGTACTCCAGCATTCCCTAACAGTGGCACCATCCAACATCTTTCTAGGTACCATTCCAGTCATGAGCCACCTTTTTCCCACTCAGAGAACAGAAATTGTTTTCCTTTTATCACATATTTGGTAATAGCACATGTTAAATGCAATATGCTAATCAAAGTTTCATAACCCTAAAAATGTTACCAATTTGCTACCAAGAGGTCAAAAAGGAGGGGAAAACTCATTAAGAAAGAAGAGGAAGATGACAGCAATCTCTTTTCTCCTTGTTTGTACAACTGTGCTGCTGCTAGTTCAATAGTAAGGCCATGCCTAGCAAGAATTTCATTCTCCGAATACACTTTTCTTATCATTTCAATGTTCTAAACAGTCTTCCTCAATTTTGTACTTCCCCATTCTGTATCAATCAGGCACTGTTAGCCAGTTTTTCATTGCTATGACCAAAATACCTGACATTAAAAAAGTTTATTTCAGCTCCTAGTCTGCAAGGTTTCCATCTATTGCTCTGGGCGTGAGGAGAGGCAGATCATCATGGAGGAAGGTCATGGTGGAAGAGAGTTGCTCAGCTCACAAGGGCCAGCAAGCAGAGAGAGGAGGCGGAAAAGAAAGAGTGGGGGGAAGGGACCAGGGACAAGACATAGTCCCCAAGGGCCCAAACCCAGTGATCTACTTCCCCCAACCACTACATTTTCCACTAACTCCCAATAGTCCATTCAGTTATCAATGAATTAATCCATAGATGAGGTCAGAGCCCTCAGTGATCCAATCATTTCCCAAAACCCCACCTCTGAACACTGCTGCACTGAGGACCTAGCCTTCAACACACGAGTTGTGGGGAGACACTTCATA